TGAAAGCACTGGTAGAGGGAAGGCCGAGCTTCTCACTCCCAATGGTGAGAGAAGCTCTGGGGTATGAGCAGTTACACTGTCCTTTCTTCCCCTCTTAAACGTACATCTGACCCGAAACCAGATTGCCATGTAGGAAGAATGTCCAAAATGCACATTGAGGAACTCCTCAGAAGGGTGAACTGCGGTTGTTGAATGCCAAAGGCAAGAAATGTGAGACAGCCAGGGAGGGAGAGGAGGACACTGTATTTTTGCCTGGCATTCCCTCTGTCAGATGTATCAGGTAAAAAGCAAGTGGGATCAATCACTTTTATAGGTATACAAGACTTGAAAAAATGAAATTAAATGAGTGCCAATTATTTGATGAAAACAGCATGCATATTAAGCAATCAGAATATTTTGGTCTGCCAGTTACTCATGATCCTATTGGCCCCATTTTAGGAGATGCAGAGTCACATCCTTCTCCCAAAAGAGTTTAAAACACAAAGGCCAAATCCTGCTTAGTGAATTCTCCAGAAAAAGGCACATAGATAGTTGAGAATGAAAAAATACATTATAAAAGACTTCCAACTTAAGATTAAAAAAGTTGAGGCAGAACCTCAACTCTTGACTTGAGTGAAAAAGGCTGGAGTAGAGCAGAAAATTTAAAAAAAGTCGTAAATGTCCTAAGCAGAAGCACTTAACCTCAACAAAATGTTGGAGATGATGTAAGAAAGCCAAAGAAGAAGAGATGGTAGTAATTATGAGAGAAAATGACACAGTTCTGAACAGGGCCTTTCATTGTGTTGGCAGTAGATAAAGGTCGACGCATAGAGGAATAATCATGACATGGTGGTATTGGAAAAAGCATTACAGATGGTAGCAATAAAATGAAGAAATTTACTTATTGAGTACCATGGTGTGACCACACTTTCTACTTATTCATTTGGGGGGGGGCATATAATGTACCCTAAAAATGCAAGATCCACAGTAAAACATTATTCTGACAAGAAATATACACTGTCTGACGCTGTTAATGCTGCTTGTACCTTTGCAAATTCATTGCAGAAGTTAGAAAGGGGAGTCCTTTCTTCCTTTGCCAATGCAAAGATTGTGTTTCTTGGGAGCTTGTCTTAGAAATGAACAAAGTTCAACTCTGCTCATAGCATCTAAGCAGACACTTTTGTTGTTTCTTGTGACTAGAAATCCACACAGACTGCAGCTAGTGCTGAAAAACCCTGCTCTGCATTTATATGATTAAATCCTTGCTGATTTATCTTCATTCCTGTTTTAGGGTGATCCTGGTGAGGGATTGCCAGGACCCCCTGGACTACCAGGACCCACAGGACCATCTGCTCCTTCCAGAGGATTAGTGAGTATTTGGGGTTCTCTGTCAATGAGCTCAGCTTGCCATAGAGGAATCCAGAACTAAATAGGAGGTTTTCTCTGGGAAAGTAGCCTGACTTGCCACAGAGATAATCATGTTTTCTAAAACACTCATGCAGAAATGTAAATAAATGTCTGGCTAAATTGTGTGAGTACTGTAATCTACATAAACACCCAGTATTCACATTTGAAAAAGCCAGTCAATGTGTGTGCTCTCCTGTGCAAAAGCAATAATATATGGGAGAACAAGAGACAAAAATTTCCTCAAAAAGACATTATAAACCTGAATTATTCATTTCTTCCCACTACTGAACACAGAAATGATTTGACAGTCACTTAACGTTTGCTGTCATTAAATACTACAACACATACCAGCGTGGTGACAGTGTTCATATTTTGAATGCTCAGTACTCAGGCCATGTTAAAGAATATGTTTCAGATTCATCTCTCTTCCGCACTTGGACCTTTCCCACTGTTTCCATGAGGATACATATGTACGCAGCTGAAGAAGGAATCTGGCCTGAATTTTCAATTCATGGTGGGGGAGCTGATTTTACACAGAGACACAGCCCACCACTGACACCAGTGGAAGTCCTGTGGTGGACTTTTAAACAAAATTATCTGTCACACTGAGTATTGTGAGTATTTACCAAGATAGTTTGCAACATATTCCAGTGACCAAAATGGATTATATGCTCCCCTAATCCCGGGTCTGCTAAATTATACCAATCTGTTTCTGTAGCATAAAAATAGAGTAACGGTGTTATGAAGGGCTGCACTATTTAGCCTCCACTGATACTGACTTCAAGAGAGCAGCAAGGCAGCTCCAGATCACTAGGACAAGGTGCTCCAGTCCAACAGCTTTTCTCACCCAAAGGCCACTTCTCTAAATGTAGCAGTGAACACCAGGTCCTGCACTGCCTTTACTTTCATGTTGTCTGAGTTAGCAAGTTTCAAGGCCTTTTATTCTGGCGTGAAGTGAAAGAAGACTCAGTGCAGCCTGGGAATGCATCCCTGACTCCTGGGCTTTTGAAACATTAGCTTTGGTACTATTATAACTGATTCAAGTACTAGTTCTCTGTGTACTTTGGGCTGTAGTTTACAAAGCATACACACCTATGAAACTCATCAAGGACTTGCAATGGGAATCTGTAGTTAATTTATATGAGTTGACATTATTTCATTTTAAATGTGGTGGAACTCACACATGTAGAAAAGTCATATTTCAACTGCCAAGTTTGTTGCACACCTTAGTTTATTCCTTTTAATTTTTAAAATTTTGAGTTCTATAAAACTTTCATAGCAAGTTCTATAATTTAAAAAAATGGATAACTGGACTTCATTTCCCTTTGCTATATATACTATGCAGATAAATCATGGCAAATTTTCCATGAAAAATACTTTTTTTTCTTTAGAAGTTTTAAAAAATTCTGTGATAGTATATAAGCTGGCTGTAGTTTGCACTATAGGTTCCATAATATAAGAAGATGATTTGAAGCTGAAGAAGCTTGAGTCTATGAAATTGTCTTATAGATGAGTACAACTAGATTGCAATACTAAAACCAAATTGTTTTTCTAACTAAATATTTTACAGAATGCTTTAGTATATTACTTTTCCTTTATAAAATGCCTCTTTGGATTTCAGTTGTAGGAATCTCAGAATTTGGTTTTTGAAAGAAGAGGCATATTCTAGGGAACAGTGGATAGATGTTAGGTATGCATTTTAGGATATTCTTAATGTTGGCAGGTATCTTCCAAAGTTAAAATTTTTCTGAGATATTCCTTCGTCTTCAGTTCACTTAAACAGTCACATAGCATGTGTCACCTGCAGGATTGTTATCCCTGTACTCATAGAGCATGTGCAGGTGAACATAGAGCTGAGTGTCTACAAATTAAATGGTATAAAACACTAGAAACATGACTGAAATATTTTTGTTGTATCATCATTTATTTCACCAGTGACAAGTCTGCTGCAAGGATATTGACTATAACTGTATTTGCAGTAATTGGTGAATGATATTTTCATTTGTCATCTTTAGAAGCAATATTTTGAAATGGAATTGTCCTAATTTCAGATTAGACTGGAACCTGAAGAATCGGGTTCTGGAGACATTGATGGAGAGACTGAGATTTTAAGAGTAAGTATATATTTATGTTTATTTCTCATTAGCATAATAAAGAGCTTTACTTTACTCATCCAGATTGTAGAAGGTCCATTTCACATTGCAAATTTTGTACATGTTAATTCACAGCATCCAGAAATGCCTTGTAGGGTTTCATTTCAAGATCTGAAAAGACCTAAGTGTATGTGACTGGGGAAGAAGTGTGAGAAAGAAAAAGGACAATGGCAAGAGGACTTTTTAAAATAAGAAAATGCTTTTAATCTGATTCTGAGAAGACAGTAAAGAGGAGAGAGATGGGAATGATGCTATTCTTCAGGATTTTAATTTGGAGTACCTGCTCTAAAAAATAAGTATGTGTGTATGAAATACTTTACACTGCAACTTCCACTGTTGATCCATTTTGATGGTCATTTGAACTTCCCTGTATTCTTGCCTTTGTGAAGAATTGTAACACTGTCACGTCAAGGCTGGCTAGCAGAGAGAGATGCTTCGGCTTAGTGAAAGTTAATAAGATTTTGATGCACATGTTCCTGAGTGAGGTTCTCTGGGCTGTGTAACATGGGAGACCAAACTTCTGTCATTGGGAAGGCATATTCATGCCAGGTAAACCTGAGTCTTGGGCTATTAACGCACACTTGGCCACTGGTTAGACTGGGACAGTCAAAGCAGTTGCTGCCTTAGATGTTCACCTCATCCTTCTCCCGGAGGTGTCTATCTCAGCTTCAGAAAGAGCTTATATGGCTTGTGAATCTACTAAAGTACTTAATTTTGCAGACATAATATTCAGGAAAGTTAGTATCAATTTCAGTTCATTTCAGTAGGCTGTGCTGTAAAATGCAGCTGATTCACGAGCTTTCAGCTGTGCTTGGGATCAGCAGGCTCCAGGAACAGAACAGAACAAGTGGGATGATGAGTACTGGTTCAACACTGTAGCTTAGTCTGTCACTCTTAGCATTATGTGTCAACAGCCTCAAGTAAGCTTTGCTTTAGGGATTGAATTAGCGCATTGGTCTTGTGCTTTGCCTTCACAGAGAGTTGACATCTTTTGAAAGACAGTACTCAGATGAGCATGGCTCTGGATTAAAAATGGGACATCTGGCTTGTTTTTCTTGCTCTGCTTCTGAGTTGTTGAGTGGCAAAGGAAACATTTGGAGTGGGGATTTTTTTCTACTTTTTTTTGCTGGACTATTTTTTTTCAGAGGTGAGGCTATCTTTCCTATACATCCTGCACAGAACAGTGTGCCTTTTTGGGGAAAAATAGCATCAATTAACTAGAACTTGCTGTAAGATATGGAATTATTTTGTATGTTTTGTTTTGGTTTTGAGCCACTTCTTCACCCATTATCTCTAGACAGCCAGCCAGATCTACTTTTACCATGTTCCTGTTGAAAATCCAAGTAGCAATCTATAAAATATGGATTACAGCTGCAAATAATGTGGTTTTCCATCCACAGAACCAGTCAGATATATAATGAATCAGGTGGTATATTACAGTTAAGGACAAATGTTAGGAAAATGAGAAGTCAAGTGGCTGAAGATGAAGAGACAAATGAGAAGGCTGATCCATCAGATGCAGTAAGAGAGAAACTTCTATGCAGTCTTTGGGATGGAGCATTTCCACCCTTTGATTAGAAGCTGTTTCATCAATAATACTGCAGCTTTCTGAGGAATGAACTCCCTGGATGCCTGTCTCCTATGAACTCCAGAACGCTACAGCATTCTGAGGCCTCTGTTTTGCAACACATCTAGCGACATTTTTCATTCTCTCAGACTGATTTCTGCCTCAAGAATTCTTTTCTGTTTCTTCTTTTCTCCAAAGTGCTGAATACCTTATTCCCAAGGCTCTTCACGAGGGAATTACCATGTGCTGAAAGTCAGTTATCTTGCCTAATTTAGGAGACTAGCCTCCTTAGATGCCCTGTGTAGTTAATGAGACAGGTGAGTGCTTGGAATGGCTCCCTGCAGAAGGCTCTGTTGACTGTACTGAAAATCCAAAATGACCACCTTCCTGACAGAATCCTGTAGATGATCCTAAGTCAGAGTTAAAGAGTTCTTGCCTTACAGTGCCATGCCCCAAAATTTCAAACTGTCCATGTTTGCCTGCTAATGCAATCAGTAACAAGGATGGACATGCACATGAGAGAGACTATTTGCAAACATATTATTTCTCCTAAAGTAACATATTTCATTCATTTTATTCAATTTAAATAGATCTGCTCATGTCCACACAGGATAGATCTTTGGAGCAGAGGCCATTTTTAGAGCACTAAGCACAGTCAGATCTTGACCATGAGCACAGATTCTCAGTGTTCCAGCAATAGCATGGAGAAACCCTTTGAAATGAGTAGAGAAAAAACCTAACCATTTCCCCCTGTTCAGTGATCCCTTGATTTCATTTTGGTTAAGTTTATTAACATTAGGTTGATCATTGGAATATCTGTAAGGTCTTTGCTGGGTTACAAAGAGCTGACACAGAATTTTTTTGGTTTTTAACTTCCTGCTTGCTGTTGCATGCCATGAGGTGGCACAGTTCAGAGAGCAAAGATGGAGGTCAGCGTGACCCTATGTAAGGAGTGTATCTATGAAACTAAAATCAGTTCTTAATGAAGCAGAAGGGGGATGGTAACGCAATCTGACAGTTTTATGAACCTGAGCAGTCTGTGTGAGCTTTTCCTGTTCCATGTATATGCAAATGAACCTGGGTAGGGCCATTTGTAACAATGCTGCTGATTTATCCAGGGTCTTCCTGGGCCACCAGGCCCTCCAGGACTGCCTGGTCTTCCGGGAAAGCCAGCACCCGATTCAGGTGTAGGACCACCTGGGTCACCAGGGGAAGATGGAGCTTCTGGTGAACCAGGCCCTGAAGTGAGTACCCATTTGTGCACAAATGTTAATGTTGTTTCTGTCCTACAACACTAAGTTCTAAGGCTTACAGACTGTATAATTCTTAATAATATTGCAGAATATTTAATTGAAGAGCTTGGATTTTATGCACATTTTTTACAAAAAAATAACAAAATAAATGTCTAGTTAACCAAAGCATATTACTCCACAGTGGGACATACATTTGGCAGGCAGATACTGGTGAATCTGGACCAGAATAAATAAAAAATAAGGATGCTTTTACCCACATTGAATAAGGTTAAGGATTATCTTTCCTGTGGTGCTTTCAGGAAAATGAAGTTTGCTAAATCACTTACATAATCTGCAGGGAATTTTTAGCATAAATTGAATTTTCTTTTTTCAGGAACTCTCTTCCTTCTTTTTCTTCAGCTGGGTAGAAACACTTATTCCCGTGGACATGTGAAATACAGTTCTACTGTAATAAAGTTTGCTAAAAGTTTGAGTGTTACCTATTTGTTAATAAATCCTCAGTAAAGTGTTTTTTCAGTGAAGAAAACCATTTTTTTAGCATTGATCAGCTCTGTGAATCTTCTCTGGAACTATATTTACTCATATGGTTCCCTTATTCCCTATCAACCATCTGCCAGTAGCAGTTGTTCTCAGAACTAGATTTGATCTATACCTGGTTCACATTACCTTCAAAGTGGGTCACCATGGCTGTATCTGACAAGGTGTAATTAGCATATATTAAAGAAATGTATTTGTGACACATGTTAAAGAGGAGATCTCACTGCATCTCAGCTGTGCTGTTTTTTTTTGAGGATAATGAAATCGGGAGTTAATACAAAATCTAAAAATGTGGGTATGGTAAATTTTAAGTGTCTGGCCACCAAGGTGGAAGGCAGCATCCTTTGTGCAGAGAGAAATTAAGCACCTGAAAATCTTTAAAATGGGATCCAAGAAGCACGTGCATGGGAAGCCA